TGTCTCAAGTTCATTGTCATAATTCAGAACAAAGAGAAATGAAAATCCAATTGGTTTGAAAATTTTAGCCGAAACTAAATTTAAACCAGAACATACCCATGAAGTCAAATAAATGTGAACATTTCACAAATAAATATGGACTTGTTTACCTGGCCTGGGTGTCACATGGGCTGACATGTATCCATGGGTCCCCAGTGTTTCATCGATTTGATCGTATACTTCTTGGCAACAATGCCACACATTTTGCTGCACAGCCTGTTCCTCTCGAGCATGTAACTCATCAGATGAAATCTACAAGTGATAACAGAGAGTAACATGTACCACTGATTCCTTTCTCAATGAATTTGGGCCCTATAAAGCCAACATTGTTGACACATTAAATAGTAAAGAAAATAACAAATGAAAACTGCATGTACCTTGTCAAGATCATCTTCACTGAGGTCTTCAAATGGATTGTAATTTGTAAATGGGAGAGGCCCACCATCTGCAACAGCATCACCTGCCAGAACAATGAAGCACATCGCCTTCAGTGCATAAAATACATATAAAAGTTCTTTCTGTTGGAAAAAATATAACTGACAGAAAACATTTAAATTGATAGGTACATGAGTACAGTTAAACATATGAGGCACTCACCAGTCATTACAGAAGTAATGAAACCTTTTGTTTAATTTTCAATGTTTAATAATAGTTGCATTTTCATGCTTTAACATTTAATGGATTTTTAACCCCTTGATTTCTGTGATTTTTCCCATTGGACAATGATTACATGTAAAGCCATTAAAACATCATGTAACAGTTTCAAGTTAATGTTCCTTTCAAAACTTTCCTTAAGTCATGGTTGAAAATCCATAAAAAAGAAATTAAATTCTCTACTCTGTTTATACGTACCTATGCAAGCATTAGTTCTTTCAGCTGGGCAAGGATCATTCACAGCATAATGAACTCTCAACTGCCAATCTAGTTCATATAGTCTAGCTATCTCAGCATCTCGAATTTTCACTTCATATTTAGTCACTGACACTCCAGGGCCTTTATCAGTGTGGAGCAAAATGCGCGGGCGGACACAGACTGGCAATCTTCTCTTTTTCATCTCAGTGAGCAGCCACTTGCAGTTTTCAATGGCATTTTTATACTTCTACCATAACGTTTCCTTGGTAGTTGTTAAAGCAGCCGAACTTTCTTTAAGCAGTTCAAACTCTGTCTTCACAGCATCGAGACAATCAGTAATTTCATTCCCAGACATCAACAGCACATCAACAAAAGGAGAAGGAAAAA